TTAACATTCCTTTTTTTCTTCTTTTTTTTTTTTATGAGCACTTAGAATCAGCCACTTTTTGGTATTAGAAAACTTTTCAGTAGTGATGAATTTGAAACCAGAGCTCATTCAAAATCCAGCGTTCTCATTTTGCTAAGTGTGTGGCTTTTAGTATTTAGTGCCAATGTCAGTTTTGTCTGCTGGTATTATAATGATTTGTATGTCATAGAGCAGCTGGAGAGTTTAATTGTGAACTTACATTGAATCAGATGTGTTTTTATCTGTTGATTTTTCTCAAACCAGAACTAATATTGGTTTAGTTTGTCGACAGTTGACTTCAATAAAACACATGTTTAGAGATAAGATTCTATACTGGGCAGTAGAGGAGGAAGGAAACTGATTTTTTTGTCTAGCTTTATGTTAGCTCTGAAATAGTATTGATTCTGTTCCAGCAAAAGAGATGGGACTGTATAAGAAACATAAAGTCTTGGGATTCTATGCACGGTTGCATTAACCAGAATGGCATTCATAAAAATCTCAGAAAACAGTAACATTCTGTTATTTCAGTAATGTTTTTTTGTAAAGAAAGCTGAATTAATAAGATTGTTTTTAGAAATCTCACTTAAATTTCATAATGACTTGCATACACCACATACAGGAATCTTATTTTCAAATCTGGATATAAACCTTTTCTAACTTACTGCTTATGAGATACTCGCTGGGATGTTTTTATATGAACTACTAAAAAGATCACTAATAATAAAACAATTTTGTATAAGATGACTATTACTTCTCTTCAGATTGGTTGTTCATGCAGTCTTATTTTGTTTAAATGTGGTTGCCCAAGGCTCTGAATTTGTTAAATTTCTTTAGGCCTTCACAACTAATGAGTTAACAAAAGGAGGTGAATTCCAAAGCAAAGTTCCGGTACTGAGAGCAGTTTTCTCTAGGAGAGCTTTCATATCTCACTAGACTCCACCTGCTGCAATATCAGCCAAGAAAGAGGATAGTTTAAAGTGTACCTAGTTTAAATAATTTGAACATTTTAAAATTAAAAAGAATAACTTTACCTACACCTAAAAACAAGCAAAGAATCGCTTTTCCTTTAGCCTGTAATTTAAGTATGAGAGTGATGAACAGCTGGCTTCCTGCAAGAAACAGCATTTAACAAGTGGGCAGCAGCATACCCTGCCAGCTGAAATATCAGAGTGGCATTATGGTGCAGTCCCAAGTATAGCACACTGAATTAATTGAGCCTTAAGGTGGCAAAGCCATGGAACACGATGGGATATCTACATCTGGAAGAAGAGGTTAAATGCATGGAGCAAGCGTATGCGGTTTTAAAGTCCAGCTGTTGGTCACTGCACCTATCTAAACATTGAATATTACAAAAACATAGTAAAAGATCCAAAATGTTTCTGAACAGCATATCAGAATCACAAAAGGCATGTACATTTCCCCAGCTAACAGAGGCGTTGACGCCTCAGCCATTTGCCGCTCACCCTAATTTGTCCATGTATTTTACCTTTATTTGAACTGAGTTGCATAGAATGCACGAACCCAAAGACTCAAGCCATTGTATAGGTCAATTTCCCTGGTGCAGCAAGAATTTGAGTTGAAGGCAGCTTCATATGATTGTGAAAAGCAAATGGAAAGTGAATTTACTATTGAACTTTCACTTGCAGGAAGTCGAAAGAGAAATTTCATTCAGAACAGAATGTGGACTTTATTATTCCTACTACAAACAGATGATTCAGGCTGCTTCCATCCAGCAAGGTATTGTAAACTGTAAAGTAAGTTTTGCTTCACGTTGCCAGCTGACTATTTTTAATATTTTTTCAAATATAGTTGAGAACAAGGAATATCGTAACTGTGAAAGATAGCGTAACAATTGTACTGGAGACAGATTTATTCTGTTCATACGCCAGGGAGCTACTAAGTTGTGGATGTAATAAATTTCACAATGATACATCGGTTTCTGTGCCACACCTTCACATTCTGATGAAGGCAATCACTTTGAGGGACAACTTTCGTATCTGTTAAGGTTTCAACCTTGCTGGTTTATTTAGTGTATTACCTTCATTTTTATTCTTCTCTTGTTTAATTTGAATTACGAGCTATTTGTGGGAAGGGGCAATGTTTTTTGCTGTATGTCTGGACAGTAAGTGACACAATGAGCAGCTTCCAAGGAAATCATACACGATGATGGGGTTTTCTGTGACAGTCTCATGTTTTCTAGATACTTAACTGTTGCTCCCTAACAATTTTGCTTATACTACACATTTGTCAATATTAACTTCACCTGTGTTCAAAGTAGTAATGAGAATGGTTCTCAAGATCCAGTATGTACCACAGATTCTATGCTAGGAATGTAAGTGTAAAAATAAATGTTTTATACATTACTAAATATATAGTACTTGAATTAGCACTCTGAGTCACATTTGAAGCAGGGAAACTGAAGACCTCAGAAGGTCATGTTGATTCAGAGGTAATGTGATCTGAATCCTTGATTCAAAGTTTGCAGTTTTTGATGAGAGATCCTAAAATACCTTTGAAAAAGTTATTCACTGTTCAAATGAAGATGGAGGGGGAAAATGACAATCTCCTATTTCAATTTCTCTTTATCGTTAAGGTTTACATGGTTTAGTATATGACAATAAAACTGAATCTGTGAGGACAATTAACATACTTGAAAGAATGAATGTTTACCAGGAGGTGTTACTCAGCATTCTGTATAGGATTCTTCCAATTCAGGTAGGCATTTATTTATGGCTTTAGATTGTAAGTGCATTATGAAGATTGCCCAGTGAATCATAGCTCCTCTTTTCAGTTATTTTCTAATTAGAAATATTCCTGATACCTTTTTAATTTGTAAAAGCAAAACCTAATTCATATTAAGTATAGTCCCCCCATGAGTGTTTTATGTCAACATCAGTATTCTTGTGTTTTACAGCAATACCTAGAGCCCGTTTATTTTTATATCTACACTTTGTTTGGACTTCAGGCAGTTTATGTCATTGCTCTGTATGTAACAAGCTGGCTTCTTAGTGGAACATGGCTTTCAGGGTTGCTGGCAGCTTGCTGGTATATTACAAACAGGTAAGTGAGATTAAACATTTGATCTTTCTAAAATTGTACCTCATTTCAAAGGTAAGGCATTAAACCTTCAAATGCATGATTAATTGGACAAAAAATGGAACTATAAGGCCTCTCTCCAGATTAGCCAGAAAATGGAAAAAAATGATAAATAATACAAAATAATCAGAAAATAATCAGAAATGAGCTGACATTGCAGACTAGGATTATAAAGTTTCAAGAAGTTTGAGTAGAAAATTTTGGCTTAAATTGGTCTCTGAAAGTGGACTACATCTTTCAGATGTGTCTGGATCTCCAGATCATGTACCCTGTCTTCTCCAGCCTAGGATCCCTTAGGTGTTAGACACCTGCATATATGCCCTTTGGGTCTCTCCTCACTGCCCCACACCCAACTTCCAGGGCTTCCTTCAACAACCTAAGATGATCAGAAGTTCAGCTTCTCGGTTCCCTTATTCCTGTAGACATCTGCACTAAGACTCGCAAGAATAAAGATGGTAATTGAGTTGTTCTAGTGCTTTATCACTTGAAGAATTCTCAACTTGGAGAGAAAAACTAAAGAACTGGCTTTATGCCAGCAGTAAGCTGCTGGCATGAAGCTAAGACTGGTGACATAGGCTGTTAACTGTAAATTAATCAAGAAAATAAAAGTACAGTGTTAGTTCTATCAAAACTGTTTGATATGTTAATCAGCAGCTGTAAAGAAGTTTATCTGCAAGCATGTCCATTACAGAATAATTCTACGTATATAGTGGTAAAACGTTTCTTTCTCCAAAGATGAAAGTAATTAAAAAATACATGCAATGTGCAGTAGTTCACATGTTTATTTCATGAGGTCATCTTTTCCATTTACAGAATATTTCGAGCAGATTTGTTCTGTCCATCTTTCTAATAATTCATGAACAATGGAAGCTTGTTATCCTTTATGCAAATAGAACAAGTACATGGAATTGATTTGGATAAAGACTTTCTGTCCAGATGAAGTAAATCTGAGGCTACTGAGTAACTCCATTTTAGACATTTTTTTCATCCAGCTAAGAATGTCTCAGATATGTTGCTTACTTTCCTTTTTAGCAAACATTTTCTCTACACAAGAAAAAAGGGAATTATTTTTTGTTTTTAATTCAGCTTTTGTAAATGACTGCCCTTTGAGGAACTTCTGCTAACTTCCATCACATACTTTTTATGTTAGAACATGAAAAAAATGACCAGAAGTTCGTACCAGTTTAGCAGTATTCAAATCCCATGCACTGGGATCACAGTGAAGAAATTGATACCTATTTATTCTTATATGTGCTTTTTGCAAACCAAAAAATGAAGTAAAATTACCTGTGGCATGAAAACTCCACATGCTGGATTTTGGGAGTGTTTTTGGTTTGGGGTTTGTTTGTTCATTTTTAAATTACATATTTTAAATGACTTGCAGAACCTTCATAATGATGTTTTTTCAGAGCCGAGCATGTTGAAGGAACTAGAGTGTAGTCCATTTTTATAAGTAGTTTAAATACCACAAAGATGCCTGTCTTTGCAACTTCTCTGTCACTAAGTGGTGTTTTATTTGTTTTAAATTTATGAAACTCTGTTTTGTACAGAACAGATACTACAAGAGTAGAATTTACCATTCCTTTAAGAGAGAACTGGGCATTACCATTCTTTGCTGTTCAGATAGCAGCCATCACATACCTACTCAGAACTCATTTACAGCCTGTTCAAGAAGTGAGTATTTCTAACAAGTATGACAGTAAAATTAGTATCGGAAAACTGTCTATAAAACTTAGGACAAAATACTTAATAAGCACTTATAGCAGTGGATATACACACACACACACAAAAATCACAATGTTGAAAACATTAATCAGATGAGCCTTCTGTTAATTTAGATGTAGTTGAAATACAAAGGAATACATATACTCAGCACTGAAAAAAAATAAAGGTAAGCTCTAAAGAGTACAAGACAACAGTACTGTGTATTTAAGAAAACATGAGAGTAACACAAAGTGGGCAGGAGAGGAGCTTGTGAAGCACAAGGATTAAAGATTTTCTTTTGATTTCATTTGTTGCACAAATCTAAGAGATTGTCCTGATCTGCAAGAATAAAAGCAAATTGGTGATACAGTTTTTTTGACAAACAGTTCTTAAGTTATTACTCCTCAATTTGATCAAATAACTGCTATTTATAGCATAGTAAAACACATATTGCATGTTAATCTATGGGCTGAAACTATTTGAGATCTCACCATTTTCTTGCAAGTGGTATTAAAATGGTAAAATACAGGCATAAATACAAGAACCTGTAAGTCTAAAAAAAATGTTCATTATCCTCCAAGCAGTTACTGCAGTTAGAAAACTCATATTAATGTTTTAAAAATGGATTTAAAATAAAACCAAATTAAGGTGGGTTTTGGTTGTTTTTGTTGGGGTATTTTTTGGGGGTTTGGTTGTTTGTTTTGTTTTTTAATGAAGGAAACTATAAAGTTAAATAAAACTTCATTCCCTCCTTCCAGAGATTGACACTTACGGCTGTATTCATAGCAACATTTCTCTTTAGCCTGACTTGGCAATTTAATCAGTTTATGATGCTGATACAAGCATTGGCACTATTCATACTGGACTGCTTTGACATGCTTCCCACAGCAAAGGTAAGATTATGTTTGGAAATAACCAAATGTTTTTCTTTTCTATCATAAAGCTAACAGTTTTGGAGGTATTTTACTAACCAGTGGCCTGGATGCTCAAAGTAATACAGATTATACACTGTACTGCTTAGTGTTTTTAAGTAATCACAGTGTATATACTGCAAGTGTAAAAATGAATACTCAAAACAACACCATTTGCTTGCACGCAAGCAAAGCAAAACACGGAATCCATTCACTCCTTCCCATGGGCAGGCAGGTGTTCAGCCATCTCCAGGAAAGCAGGGCTCCATCACGCGTAACGGTTACTTGGGAAGACAAACGCCATCACTCCGAACATGGCCCCCCTTCCTTCTTCTTCCCCAGCTTTATATGCTGAGCACGACGTCATATGGTGTGGGATATCCCTTTGGGCAGTTGGGGTCAGCTGTCCCGGCTGTGTCCCCTCCCAGCTCCTTGTGCACCCCCAGCCTCCTCGCTGGTGGGGTGGGGTGAGAGGCAGAAAAGGCCTCGACTCTGTGTAAGCACTGCTCAGCAGTAACGAAAACATCCCTGTGTTATCAACACTGTTTCCAGCACAAATCCAGAACAGAGCCTCATACTAGCTACTATGAAGGAAATTAACTCTATCCCAGCCCAAACCAGCACAACTGAAAATTAGTATGGTGGCTGCGTATCAAAATGTGGTTTATTTAACAGTTTGTAAGCTCTTCATTATATCTGCAAATGTAAGCTGAAGTTAGCAGTTAATGTGACTAATTAGCTACCTTAAAAGTTGGCAAATTACCAGCTTCATCCTGAATTATACTAAAATGGACTTACTGCATCACTCTTACTCCATCTTAATTTTCCAAAAAATGCTACTTAAAACTGTTGGGGTTTGTTGGTCCATTTGATACTGACTTACACCGCTGCTGTAACACAAGACTGAACTCAGGATCTTTGTGTCAGGTAAAATTTATGTTTTGGTACCGCTGTGTCAGAAAATCAGCTGGTTTTTAGTGTTTGCATTCAGCTGAACATTCGTAATAGTTTAGCATAGCTCGAAAAGGGCTATACTAAACTATTATAAAAAAGTTAGAGAAATCAGCTGATGTCTGATTGCTGAACTGCACTGAGCCATAACTCTTTAGTCATAAAGACATTAGAGAGGCTACAGAAACACTTCTTTGACTAAAGAAAATACAAAACATCTCCAAATATTAAGTAATTAATATTTTCCTCACTTTACAATTAACTTATCTGCCTTATTACAGCATCAGGCTTCCCTAGGTACAAGATAGGTATAAAATATTAACCTAACTAGTTCAGGACATAAATATAGAAAGGATATAGTAATGGCTTTTGGTGTAATGATTTAGTGCAAGATGATACATTTTTTTGTAAAAATAATTGGTGTTGAAATAACTTAGAAAACATATTCAAAGCAAAGCAGCTATGACTAAAGTTTTGTAGGCGTAAAAATCTCATTATTGTTACAGGTTACGTGGCTCTATATCATTCAGATTTCTGCATTACTGCTAGTCTGTGTTCTACAGTTCTTTAATTCTATGATTCTTGGATCATTACTTATAAGTTTTAATGCTTCTGTCTTGATAGCAAGAACAATCCAGGTAGGTACCGAAATATTTTTGTAGTACTGAATAAACAGTGTGATATATATAGGTAAATGAGTAATTTATATGCATTATAATCTTAAATTACTAATACTAATTAGAAGAATTACTATAGCGTAAAGCAACAAAAACATTGCATGATCAAATAATGAATTCAATTACACTAACTACAGCATAACCAAGCACCTCAGACACCATAATTCTGTGATTGCTATTAACATTTATGATTGTGCAAGCTGCAGTTTGGATCCTGCAAAAAAATTGCATAAAC